CTGAGATTTCCTGAGACTTCCTGGTTTTTTTTTCAGCAAAAACAAAAATTTCTGAGAGTTCTCGGTTTTCCTTTTTTTATCAGATAGTAGACACCTTATTTTCAGTCCCTTATTTTCAGAAATTGGACCAATTTGTAAATTCAACCTCTTAAAATGTTCGTTTTGGTTTAACAAACATATCAAAATTTAAAGTTTGTACGTTAACGTTTAGAGGCAGGGCTGGTAGCAGGTCACTTTTTAGTGACTTGGTCACTATTTTGAAGCCAGTCACTAAAAAGTCACTTTTTACACCTAAAAGTCACTAAAGTCACTATTTCCCTAAAAAACGTCACTAAAGTCACTTTTTCACAAAATGTTTAAATTGAGTACTTGGCACTAAGAAAGTGTACAGTAGTTTTAACAAAATATACATATCTGTTAAAAAATTGAAAATTTAACCAGGGTGACCAGTGAATCGCAAAACGTTAGAACACCAGGAAAACTATTGGGAAATGTCTTCAATTTCGATTTAAAATAGAATTTTAAAGGATTTTAGGGCAGACACCAAGATATATCAGAGAAGAATGCCAAAGTACAGACTACGAAAGTCTCATGTAAAATTACCTGTTCTGAGGACCGATTTCTTGCATTAAATCTTAAAACTTGGCTTAACACATATGGGCGTCGCTTTTGATTACTGTTTAAATTAATAGAGACTCAAAATTCAGCACCGAAGCAATTTTGGAAATAATTCTAATGTAATTGAGAGTGCATTTTAACGAGAGTTCTGAGAAGAATTCTATGATGATTGGATGAGGATTCTAGGTCTAATTATAATAAGAATTCAAATGGCTCTGATGAAAATTCCATGAAAATCCCGTGAACTCCAAAGATGGTCTCTGTGGATAGTTCTAAAAGAATTCTGGGGTGATTTCTGACGATACTTTCAAGAGAATTCTAAATAGTTCGAAATAAATTCCGAGAAGAATTCAAATGGAATCGAATTTTGAGGAAGGGATTCTGAGAAGAGTTTCAAAGTTTGTGATGGATTTTTGTGTTGAGAATTCTGAGGAAATACTATGGGGATTCTAAGGAGAATACGAATTGAATGCAAGGGAGAAGTCCAAGATTATTCTAAGCAGAAATTTATGAAACTTCTGAGGTTAATTGCATGGAAATTCTAAGGATGGATTTATGGAGGGAGTTTCTAAAAGAATCAATAAAAAATCGAAAATAATCTTCTTTAACTAATCATGTGTTATTACTTCATGCGTGAATTTAACTATTTACGTAGTCGGAGATGCTTAACGTCAAATATCAGACTTCAAATGGAGATTTTATACGACCTAGGAGGAGATTCCATTATAGAGTTGATAGTTTCGTTATAGTACGGCAGTGTGAAAATTGTTTATTAAAGTAGAAAGCGAGCAAAGGACAATTTTGAGGAAGGTACGAATCGGGTAGTTATTTACGTCAGATGGCGACTTGAGTGTGAAACAATCAATAGAACTGTTTCCGCACATCAGAGGTACATGAACAAATCGCTGATCATCCCTTTTGCCAGTGGTGGCAGGGGGAAACACCCACACCCCTCACCATCCCTCATTAACGGATGAGCTTGGTAAAGGAGATGCTCTACCCTATTCTTACCTTCCTCAAAAGTATCCTTTGTTCGCTTTCTACTTTCTATATACAAATTTTACACTGCCACACTATAACGGAACTATCAACTCTTTACTTTCATCTCCTCATCTATCGTATAAAATGTCCACTTTAGTTCTGATATTTGATGTTAAGCGTTTCCAACTACGAAAATGATCCAATTTCCAAGAATTTGGTTGATTGTTCTGCAAAGAATTTCAAGAATGCAATATTATGTTTGTAAAAACTTATTTGCTTCTAAGTTTAAGAGAAGGGGAATTATTCTAAAAAAGTTATTGAGATCATTCTGAAGAAATTCTGTGAAAATTTCATAGCAAATTATCAAAGTTATCTACCTAGGTATATCAAATATTTAGAAATTTCGAACGCAGAATCAAATTCAAGATCAAAAAATGGGAATTACTATTTGCTAGTCATCATGTATAAAGTAAGCAAAAGTAAATTATTCAAATCACTTCAAATACTCTTCACAGGAGTTTCCGTTGTGAGATTCGATTAAATTAGAGGAATTTATTAAATTTGATATTGAGTTCCATGACATAAAAAGTTTATTTCAATATCAAACCGTATTTGAATTTCTATGGTACCGTATAAATGGTTACTTATTTAGTATTTACAAGTCACTATTTCCGTAATTTTAGTCACTAAAGTCACTACTATTATATCGAATCAGCTCTACCAGCCTTGAGAGGTCGCTCATCGGCCCTAAAAGAATGATAGCGTATGCAACCTCCCCATGCCATGGTGAACACGCTACCTTGGTGTACGCTCCATAGGTATCACCATGAATCCATGACAAGATACTCGCACACGTATGCTGAACGTGAACATAAAACAGTATGTTACATAGTCACTCTCTCACTCGCTTTCTTCATAAATAGGACAACGGTGTCATGCGTAGAATTTAGCGTAAAACGTGAAACAATTGAAAGTAGACGTTGCACAAGTAGGCCTGATCCGGAAATCTTCTTGGTTTGTTAGGGGAAATTCCATGGCAACTATCAGTGCTTTGGAAACAAGTGGAAATTTAGTTACCTATAAATATAGCCTAATGAAGTCATTCTTGTGACGAACTTTGAAGCAGACGGACTAGCAGCAGTAACAGCAACAACAGCAGCGGCAACATTACAGGTAGCGATAAACCAGTTGCGTTCGTGTAGCCGTGACAATTTCCTGAACTACCGGTATTTTTTTATTTCTTCTACAGCACCTGTTTAGCGATATTTCTAGCTCTCAATCTAACTGGAGCCAGCGGATCGATGCTGGTAGTAAGAGGTAGTTAGCCCTTCCCGTATTGTCGGAAGACGAGCTTCAGTGATAGCTTCACATTCAGGTCTCACTAATTTAACGCGATTTTCCCTTCTAATTTTATGAGCCATTTTGAAGAAATGACGCATCTAAACGCACTGAAATAAAGGTTGCCACTGTTAAGACATGAACTGGGTACTGTCGTAACTGGACAGAGGTTTCCAGCCTTTGTCACGGCTACACGAAAGCATGACTGTGTTAGGGAAACCACTTTAGGGATAATTTTTCAATAGTGACACATTGAAAATTGAGAAACAGATTGTTAGACAAATTTCCAATTGATTGGCTTGTTTAGATTCGAAATCCATCCACTATTGACACAATTATAAGTAGTTAAAACCTGACCACTTTTTGTACCGCGATCGATTTTTGTTTTTTGAAATTGCACCCCAATTGTTTCCGAAAGACGTAACTTTAAAAAAAGAGGACCACTCTAATCACCACCCACGTCAAAAGGAAGATCTTTCCTTATTGACAAACTCTTCCGAAGATGCCAAAACCTCTGGAGTGCTCAATTTGTGAGGTATCGATTGTTGTCGTGAAATTTCGCATTTTCGACCATAGTGCAATGCTAAGTGATGTCAACTCTCTACAATCGAAACGTTTGTCCTTTTGGCTCCATATTTTGACAGTCAGTTTGGCTCTGCTGGATTCGTCTCCGTCTGAAGCGGGGATCAAGTGTGTCCAGTTTGCCCTAAGCTCTGCTCCCGTGCCAACCATTCCAAATCGTCACCCCCTTCAAACAGGCAAATCGAACAATCGTTAACGTTCTTCGTCACTGTTTCGAATGCAGTAAAATCGAATATTTTTAGTTTTATTTCATCGTGCGCTCTTCACTTCCTCTGTGCGCTGCACTTCCTTCCTTTCTTGCAGCAGGCATTCTCTTCATTCCATATCGCTGTGTAATTCCGATGTTTCATATTATTCCTCCACCGACACTCCGTGGACACAGGCGGACGGACGAATGGAACGTGATGAATACAAATGGTTACCTGCACTGCCGATAAAGTAGTAGGCACAATGCACCTTAATTACCTACCACTTTTTTTTCAGTAAGAGAAGATGGTGTCACGCCGGATCCTCGGCGATTCACCATATTTCAAGGTAAACCCTTTTGAACAGACCCGAAGCGAACAACCTGATGACACGGTTGGCTTATCTTATCACCCAACCCACACGTTCGCTTTTCAGTTACCACCGCAGTCGGTCACAGTGTTGTCTAGGTGCCGTCGTCGCGACGCCACTATCACCGCGCGATTGCAACGTCAATACAAACACCAGCCATCTACGGACTGAGTCTGTAGATGGGGTAGTAGGTGTCTCGTCCAATGGCAATAATGTTGCATTCTTTGTAGAGAGAGGTGCCTGTTGTTTACTATATCTGTGTTTACTTTGTTTGATAAGGGTATTAATGAGTGTAAGCGCTTCTAACACGGTTGCCGTCAGCTTGATTGCACTGCATTCATTGATTCTAGTGCGTAGAAATGCGTACATCATGAATGAATGAACCTGCGCCACCTTAGCTAGCTGCTGGGCTGCTGGTCGTCATGGAAAGTGCGTTAGGAAGGTAGAGTGAGAGATAAAGAGAGCATGAAGTATAGATGAGAGTGCGTATTGGGCTATTGGAGAGAAAGAAGAATGCGTCGGTCAAGCTACTTGAAGCAGATCGAGGCCTACAACATGTTAACGGGCTCTGCACGCTGCCATCCACCCTCCGTAGATGGCAGTTTATGTAGGTAGCGCTAATTAAATGCTCAAATAATAAAGATGTAAATGGTTCGGGAAAGTTGTTTCTGATTGTTGCTCTCATTCTCCCTTCCTCTCTTTCCGTCGCACAGCATGATTTGCTTCGTGGTGCACGCGGCGCGTAATCGACTAGCGCGTGTCGGCCTGCATATTAATTTAAGCATTTTAAACATCGCGTACTGATGAAGTGTGTTTTCGGTCAAACTGATTTTTGTTTCTTCTTTCTCTCTTCCTCTCTTTTTTCGGCTCTCTTTCGCTCACACTCTTCCTCGGGACGTATTCAACCTTGAACCACCGCGCACCAGCAAGGGAAGCGGCATAGGAGAAAGAGAGCAAAAAGGTATTACAGTGGGGTTGCGCACACGGACGGAACAGTTGGCTGCTCCTGTTAGTTGAACGTCGCGATCGCATCCGGACGGACGCGTGTTGAGTGTGGTGAGTGCAGTTCTCTCTGCGGGAGGAGGAAGCATATCGGCAATGGCCAGCGGTAGCAGTAACAGCGGAACGGTTTCGATATCGGCGTCGTCGGCCAGTCTGGCGCCACCGGCAGCGCCCGTGAATACGCCATGGCCAAACAGCAAGGATGACTACGAGCTACGGGAGGTGATAGGTGTCGGAGCCACCGCCGTGGTGCATGGAGCCTACTGCCTACCGCGCAACGAGAAATGTGCCATCAAGCGGATCAACCTGGAGAAGTGGAACACTTCCATGGATGAGCTGCTGAAGGAGATCCAAGCGATGAGCAGTTGTAATCACGAGAATGTCGTAACCTATCATACCAGTTTTGTGGTGAAGGAAGAACTGTGGCTAGTACTGCGGTTGCTGGAAGGTGGCAGCTTGCTGGATATCATCAAACATCGCATGAAGACAGTCAACTGTAAACACGGAGTGTTTGACGAAGCCACGATAGCAACGGTACTGAAGGAAGTACTGAGAGGACTGGAGTATTTCCACAGCAACGGACAGATCCATCGAGATATCAAGGCTGGTAACATTCTGCTTGGGGATGAAGGAACCGTGCAGATTGCGGATTTCGGTGTGAGTGCTTGGCTTGCAACGGGACGGGATCTATCGCGACAGAAAGTGCGGCATACCTTCGTGGGAACGCCGTGCTGGATGGCACCGGAAGTCATGGAGCAAGACCATGGCTATGATTTCAAGGCCGATATTTGGTCGTTTGGCATTACGGCGATCGAGATGGCCACCGGAACGGCTCCGTACCATAAATATCCACCGATGAAGGTGTTGATGCTGACCCTCCAGAACGATCCACCGACCATCGACACCGGTGCGGATGAGAAAGATCAGTACAAAGCCTATGGAAAGACTTTCCGGAAGATGATCGTCGAGTGTCTTCAAAAGGAACCATCGAAACGTCCTTCGGCCAGCGAACTGCTAAAGCATCCGTTCTTCAAGAAAGCGAAAGATCGGAAATATCTCACGCAAACCCTCTTGGCCACTGGCCCATCCATGGCCACTCGAGTTCACAAGGCTGCCAAACGACAACCGGGTGCTTCCGGTCGTCTACACCGTACCGTCACCGGCGAATGGGTCTGGTCTTCCGAGGAGGAAGATAATGGCAAGAATTCCTCCGATTCTGAATCCGAGGAGCGGCCCATGAACCGCCTGGAACAAATGGACTCCTCCGCTTCGGAAACGGAAGACGCCTCCGAACAGTCGGAGGTAACCGTGACGGCTCCAACCGGTTCGGAAGCCACAAACACCGACATAACTAATGCCGTCGGTGGTCTAAATCTGGACGACCTTCCTCCCATCAATCTAGTGCTACGGATGCGGAACTCCAACCGGGAACTGAACGACATCCGGTTTGAGTTCGCGGTCGGCAAGGATTCGGCCGAGGGCATTGCGTCCGAACTGGTCGGCGCTGGTCTCGTCGACGGGCGCGACATCGTCGTCATGGCTGCCAACCTGCAGAAGCTGATCGATCAGCGGAGCTCGGTGAAAACTGTCACCTTCCAGCTGAACTCCGGCTTCGGCAGCGGCGAGCAACCGGACGAAAAATCATTGATCGGCTTCGCACAGATTTCCATCACGGACTAACTTAAGTGACTTGTTCTAAATCTATTTTTTTTTCGCGTAAGTGTGAGCGTGCCTGTTTCTTTGTGTATGCGTTTCAGTACGATCGTGAGCTGAACAGAACATTCTATATATCGGAGAAAAGAAAAAAATTCCCTGTGTTTCGATTTCTTACATAGTTTTAATATGAACGAAGAAAACAATAAATAGCAAGTTATTTAGATTTAATAATATATATATAACCTATCGAAGAGAAATTAAGGCAAGCAAAACCCAATTCGCATGAAATAACCCTGCTGCTTTTCGGAATTCTAGGGCAAACTAGTGCTTTAGCATTTTCCAACGAAAGTTCGCGCTTTTATTCACACCATCTTCACTATTCTTGGAACAAATATATATATATTCATGTTAAATTAAAGCAAACAAGTGATGCAGAAAGTAGCCTTTATCGGATTCTCGCGAGTGTATCGGTGATGAGAAATAAAAAAAAAAGTAGAAAAACGAATTGATCGTCAGAAGAACAAAATATCGAAAAGCAAAAAAACAAATCGGGTTCGAAAAGTTTTACGTTTATCAGAGCGAAGACGATCGAGCACATGGGACGATGATGGATATTATACGCGGAAAGAGAAATAAAGATGATTTGTATTTTAAACGACTACTTTTTGACTAGCGCGCAGTTGCGATTTTAGCGGTAGATGTCGAGTCACACCCCTCCTGAAGTTAGAAGAAGAAAAAATAACAAAGTGGTATCAAACAAACAAAAAAACAAACAAACACAAAAACCAGCAACAGCAACAAATACCAGAGGTAATAAAAACAGCATCTAGTTGATGATATTGAACGAGTACCGTTTACGTGTGTGGTTGAAGGTTTTTTTTTATCATGCCGAAAATTCTCCTTCAAGGTATCTATCTATCTGTCTCAGAGTGTGTGTGTGTGTGTGTGTGTGCATTGAAAAATGATCAGTGTTGCGTAAGAGCATGTGAGCAAAGCGGTGTTTACCGACATCGATCGGTTCGGTAGTCAGTGGTTGTCACTGTGGTCATTTTTGGGATGGATCGAAGGTGTTTTCTGCGAGCTCATTGACGTAGATCGGAATGAAGATTCATGAATATTTACGCTACGAGAACCGTAAATGAGCTTTGGCAAGACCGGTGTTGAATGCTGTGCGTTTTGATGTTTGGCACGAGGGAGGATGTCGAGAGAGCTGGAAAAAAAAACTTGCGTTGTCGATGGGATTTCCTTGATGGGTTAAATATGCTAATGGTGAAATAAATTGTTCTGCAAATTTGAGTACGTGTCAGGTTTCCGCTGAAATCGAATTGAGCTTGAGTTGCTAAGGAACCCCAAAATGTATTGGAATAATCATGAGCTACACCACCTGTTTCTAATCACATATCATTTCATATGGCAACGAAGCGTGGAAAATTGCAGTTGAAGGTCCAATGGATCTTCCAAATTTACCGACAAAAATGCTCACTACAGTATAAAGAGAGAGAGAGAGAGAAGGATTAGTAATTTCCATTTAATTCCACTACCTCATTTGCTTATCCTGACAGATACGCGTATTTCGTCTACAATGTCCAGACTTCTTCAGTGTCTTGTACTAAGTCAGGATTGCTCACTACAGTTTTAGTCCAAGTAACTTGAAATATTATTACTAGAATGAAAGTACGTCCATAAATACATTGTCAAAACTTCATGACGGTACGTAACCCCAAAAGCATTCATTATTATCGAGCTTGGTCGCGAACATCTCCGCGGGCGGTTTTTATCTCGTCTATTTTATGACCCATCTCTTAAAGGCTGCGGTTTGAGGTGTTGTCTCCTAGAATACGAGTTGATGACGAATAGGCAGCTTCCACGAGAGCAAATTCATGTGATCATTGGAGCTACGCTAATGCGTCACACATTTGTTGCTGAAAAACAAGAAAGAGATAACTTACGAAAGATAATTGAATACTGCAGGTATATTAGAGGCCCGTGTATTCAACATTAGTGGCTTTCATTGGCGTGGCTAATGGGGGTACCTAGAGTGCCTGGCACTCTCCAGAATGTTTTATAGAATTATATATTTCAAAGTTTTGATATTGGAATCTCAAAAAAAAAATCTGGAGGGGGCCAGTCACCCTAGGCACCAGCAAAAAGCGAAATAGTCTGAAGCGAATTAAAACCACTAATTGCCTAAGGCATCAGCGGTTGTCAACCTTTTTCGAGTGGCGTACCCCTTACCAAAGATTCATTAAAAATGGTGTCCCCTCATTTTCAATGTCGATTTTTAACAACAGGGTCTCCTAAAGATCGTAATGATTGTACATATTGAAGAGCATAATAGCCATAATGCACAATGTACGCAATATTTGTGCTATTAGCTGTGCGCAAATGCTTATGAAACTATAGTTTTAGATAATTGGAGATGCTTAACGTCAATATCAGACTTAAAGTGGCCATTTTATACGATAGATGAGGAGATGCAAGTATAGAGTTGATAGTTCCATTAGAGTACGGCAGTGTGAAAATTGTATATAGAGAATAGATAGCGAACAAAGGACAATTTCGAGGAAGGCACGAACCGGGTTTATCATCTCCTTTACTAAACTTCCCCTATTGGGGAAGGATGGTGAGGAGTATCTCCCCCCGCCACCACTGGCAAAAAGAGATGATTGCCGATTTGCTCACATACCATCGATGCGCGGAAACAGTTTTATCGATTGTTTTACACTCAAGTCGGTTCCACTAGCGGAACTATCAACTCTGTACTTTCATCTCCTCATCTCATCATGTTAAGCATCTAAAACTATGTAAATCGTTAACTTCACCCATGAAGTAATACAAACATGATTAGTTAAAGTAAGTAGAGAGGATTTCCCATAGAATCTATAACATGTGACCTTTTCGATCTGTTTCAGTATGTTATGCAGTATGCATTTATAAAAAGTATATTGGTTTTTCATATTTCATGAACATTTTTTCATAGGTTACAGGTATTGTAAGAGGGCCTTAAATGTTTGGTTTTCAAACATACAAATCATCCAAATCAGTTGACTTAGCAACGTTCAAAGTGTTGACAAAGTTCTAAGTATTATCCAATAATTTCGAAATTTTGAGAAAACGTTATTTACTGGGTTGAAAACCTCGAAAAAATATAAAATAACAAAACTGAAACATAATTTTTAGAGGTGTTATCCGTATCCGTATCGGTATTATCATTGATCGTTTTGCTCACTAAGAAGACCTATTTTGATTGCTGTGAAGGCGCATATTTGAAGAGATCTCAGATGTTTCCAAATATCCAGAACACCAGAATGAAATGAGGATTCATGTGAGTTCTACTTTTATTGATGAGAGGGTGCGTCTTTGGAGAGGTTCCAGAACGCTTCGAATGATGCAGAATATCACAATTGAAAGAGGATTCTCGTGAGTATGTATGATTTAACTGTATCGAAAACGAATAACTCATTACAACACACATGTTCTATAACAATTTATACAACCTTTGTATGACTAGTTTTGGTTGTATAGCAGTTTATTCAATATAATTCTATGAATTTGTGTTTCTATACTACGGCATGCACTAACCAACACTCTGAAAAATTTTCACGTCCGATTTACGTGAAAACATAGGTGGTTTTCGTCCACCCTATTTTTCACGTAACTTTTACCGGAATTACACGTAGTCGATCAAAATCCAGCTTCGATTATCTACGTGATTATTCAGGTAAATGAGACCTGATTTTCACATACATATACACATGCTTACGTGAAATCGGGGTGAAAACTACTGGCAACTGGTAACTTTTACGTAACATTCCGTTTTGTTTAAAATACTTTTCACGTAATTTGTACGTGAATTTTGAATGATAATAATGGAACGTATATATAAAAGCAGTCAATATTATGCAATTTTATCGGGTAAATATAAAATCCACGTGTTGAAATTAAAGGGTGATACGGTCAAAATTTGGTCAAGGGAAAACGCGTGTAAATCGGTGAAATCGTTTATTTAAAAAATCAAATTAAATTTCTTTTTCAAGTTCAATTAGTATAAAATTCAGGAAAAATATTCAGTTAGGCTTCCGCTTTTCCAAATCCGAATTGCCGGGCCTTACGCTTGACCCCTGCCATCAGATTTTGTACAGCCACCTTGTCCACCTTCTTCGCCGCAGAAAGCCAGTTTGCCTTGAACTGCTGCTCGCCCTTAGCAGTTTTTTTGGTCTTCTTTAGGTTCCGCTTGACAATAGCCCAGTATTTCTCAATTGGGCGGAGCTCTGGCGTGTTGGGAGGGTTCTTGTCCTTGGGAACCACCTGCACGTTGTTGGCGGCGTACCACTCCATGGCCTTTTTACCGTAATGGCAAGATGCCAAATCCGGCCAGAATAGTACGGAACAACCGTGTTTCTTCAGGAAAGGCAGCAGACGTTTATTCAAACAGTCTTTCACGTAAATTTCTTGGTTGACAGTCCCGGAAGCTATGAAAATGCTGCTTTTCAAGCCACAGGTACAGATGGCTTGCCAAACCAGATATTTCTTTGCGAACTTTGACAGTTTCATGTGCTTGAAAACATCTGCTACCTTTCCCCTTCCTTTTGCCGTATAAACCTCCTGTCCCGGAAGCTGCTTGTAGTCGGCTTTGACGTAGGTTTCGTCGTCCATTACCACGCAGTCAAACTTCGCCAGCATCGTCGTGTACAGCCTCCGGGATCGCACTTTGGCCGTCGTATTTTGTTTATCATCGTGATTTGGAGTTACTACCTTCTTGTAAGTCGATAGTCCGGCTCGTTTTTTGGCTCGATGCACGGTTGTAGACGATACACCCAGCTTATTTGCGGCATCTCGGAGAGAGAGGTTAGGGTTTCGCTTGAAACTACCGGCAACTCTCTTTGTCGTCTCAGCGGCTTCCGGTTTTCGATTTTCCCCCGATCCAGACTTCCTGGCTGTCGACAAACGTTCCCCAAACACTTTAATTACATCTGTAACGGTTGATTTGGCAACTTTTAGCGATTTTGCCAACTTTGCGTGCGAGTAGCTCGGATTTTCGCGATGCGCGAGCAAAATTTTGATACGCTGCTCTTCTTGCTTGGACGGCATTTTGACAACTGAAGAGTGAATTCCAAAATCAAAATAGGAGCAACATTCTACACACACACTCCTTCAAAATGAGGGGTGTTCAGGTTTTTTAAATGCAAAATTGAAAGAAATACGTCAAGTTGATATTGACCAAATTTTGACCGTATCACCCTTTAATGCTTATATCTACTCATAAAATTGTAAATTATTGACTAATTGATTATTATGAGGTAGAAACGTGTATGAGCTTTTTTTTTTATTTCTGACAAAATTTTATCAACTGTTTGCAGACTCAAAATGCTAATGCCACCGTCTGAAATTATAAAACTAGAAAAATGCGACATATAATCATAAATCAATTAATGTAAAAGAATCAAATTACCGTCCAATATTTGCAACAAGCTGCCATTTGTTTGCGTACCTGAAAATCACGTAAATCCCGTTTTGCGGAAATATCGAAGTCCCAAATACAAATACACGAAATCTGTTTACGTGAATATGCGGTCGATTTCACCAACATTTTAAGTGGACATGACATGCAATGCAGGTCAAAGTTACTAACATCACGTAACATTTGAGATTTTCTGAATACAGATCAGGTACGTGATATTTCACGTAAATCGGACGCGAAGATTTTTTAGAGTGAAAGAACAGTTAACGAAAGATCTAGATAAACATTTCAAAAGGTCCTATCTGCATTGATAGATTCTCTTCATCGACTTTCTCTTTCAGCTGCAAAACCTTTCCCTGTTGTATTTGACGTTTTGGACGCTAGATA